GGTTCAATGACCGTGGGATTACTGTGCTTGATTGGCTAGCAAACTCATCTGACCTGCACCCCAAAGAGAATCTATGGGGCATTGCCAAGAGAAAGATGAGAGACATGAGACCAAACAATGCAGAACAGCTGAAGGCCGCTATTGAAGCAGCCTGGTCTTCCATAACACCTCAGCAGCGCCACGGCTGATAGCTTCCATGCCACGCCGCATTGAGGCAGTAATTGCAGCAAAAAGGGGTCCAAACCAAGTACTGAGTAAATATGCATGCTGATACTTTTCAGAGGTCTAATATTGTTCTATGTACAATCCTTGTTTTATTGATTGCATGTAACATTCTAATTTTCTGAGATTGTGGATTTGGGGTTTTCATGAGCTGTAAGCCATAATCATCACAATATGACAAATTAGAGCTTGAACTATCTTGCTTTGCATGTAATGAGTCTATCTCATATATTAGTTTCACCTTTTAAGCTGCATTACTGAAATAAATGAACTTTTGCATTATATTCTAATTTTTTGAGTTTCACCTGTATCTGAAATATTTTTTCACTGCAATGTTTTAAGATGAAAATTATTTGGGTCTTATCGTCAATACAAAGAAAGGAGAAAACAGGAACCCTAAGCTTGGGCTGTTAGTACACAATTATAATGCAGAATTACATCAAAATTAGGCTAATGTGCAGAATTGATAAGTAGTACATTAATTGAATGGACTGTTATATTCACAAACTTTTTCTTTTGAAGGGCTCTGAGAAATGCAGCATTTGGTAGCTGTTTCACAGGAGTAGACTACAACTCAGTCTTGAGAAGACTGGGTGGTGTTTGCCCCTCACCCCAACCCCAGGTTCAGATATATTTCCATTGTTAGTTGTGGATGGTGAAACACTTCCCTATTCACGACTATGCAACTGGGGAGTCCTTCTGAACTTGTGCTTACTGTTCAAAGAACAAGTGACAACTGTGGCCAGCAGCTCATCTTGTGCACCTATTGATATGGAGACCCTTCAGTTATTCATGTAGTGGTCACCTCATGATTGAATTACTGCAAGGCACTGTACATGGGACTGACTTTGAACACATCCAGAAACTATCACTGTTACAAAATGCAGTGACATGAGCAATAATGGGCATGTTCTTGCTATGTCCATGGATCACTGCGGCTGTGCAAGCTGTGCCAGTAGGCTGCTGAGTGCAATTCAAGGTTTGTTGAAAAAGCCCTGTGTAACATGGGGGGGGGGGGATATCTGAGGCCTATCTCCAAACATTTCTGCTTGCCTGGTACCCTGACAGAATGGGGGTGTTCTAGTCCTCTCTATGTTGTCATGAGAGGGAAGCATGCCTTCCCTCTCATAGCTCCTACTCTCTGGAACAGCCTACTTTAAGAAATACACAATGCCCTCTCTCATGGGGTTTCAAAAAGCCCTTACATACTAGCTTTGTCATCAGGTCTAGGGTTACAATCATGTATTTTTCAGGGCTCTGGTCTGGTCTGTTACTGTCATGACTCTCATAGTCTGAGTTGCTTTTGGTACGGTTTGTTTTAAACGTTTTTATTTACAAGGTAAACAGAATCTACTGGAATGGGTGGCTGTAACAAGTTTCAAATAATAATGAAGAATTATAAGCTGTAAGAAGCAGATCTTTTACCTGTAGTATGGACTGAGCTAATTCAGTATTTTCAGGATTGTCAAAATTGAGTAACTGGGACCCAAATCCATAGTAATATGGCCCCAATTTATGCAGGTCAACCACACTGGCATCTGCATTAAACACTGTCCGCCAGCTCTCTTTGTACACCTTTGGTAGCTCCACAGAAAGAATCCTCCGCTTGTCATACAAGCCTTTGGCCAACCAGAGAGGGATTTCCAACTTTGAACCCTGCATAATGGGATAGAATACAAAAAAGGGAGAATACAAAGGGACATAACTGAACATTCCCAATGCTGCTCCGAGTAGCCCTGTAAGTAGAGGAATTCAATGGAGGTCACCCAAGCGCGAGACATCTGCAGCAGCCGGATTCCCCGCATCCCTCCTCGCTTTAAACGCTATCCAGGAGGCAACCCTGACTGCTCTTGCGAAGGAAAGAAGCGGTGACCAAGTCGCGGAGACAGCAGACTCATTGTGCATTTCTGCGGTGGGGCGGGCCTCGTTCAGCCAAAGTGAAAGCGCCCCCAGGGGAAACCTACCACGCCAAGAAGGGCTTCGAAAGCGCCCCCCCCCCCCCGCACGGGCTCTCCAGTTAAGGGAGGACGCGAACTTCTGAGCGCGGGAACCGCAATGCCAGCACTCCGCTTCCTTGGGCGGAGGCCTTCGAGGGCATGGGCGGGCAGTCCTTCCCCGGACTCGGCCCGCCAGCGAGGTTGCCAGCTGGACACAGGCGCGGCCTGGCCTGGCCTGGCCTTAAGCGCCGCCGACTCCAATCCAACCGCCCGGCCGCCCAGACCCGCCACCGCCCGTCTAAAGGAAGCCGCCGAGAGTTCCCCCCTCCCGGGCAGACGCTACTTCCGCCGCGCGGCCGCCGAGCGCTGGAGCCCGCAGCGGCGCGGGGTGGCCCTCACCTCAGGGAGCGCCTTGCCGGGCGCAGCGGCCGCGTCGACCCTGGCTAGGAAGGCAGCCAAACGAGGCCAGGCGACCTCGGCACGGCACGGCAGCCGCTCCTGCGACATAAGGATGTCGGCCAGCGAAAGGAAGTTCTCGTCGGGGCCGAGCGCGGCCTCCACCGGCGCGTAGGGGTCAGCCATGGCGCCTTCCGAGCCTTTCAGCAGCCCGTGCGCCTGCGCGGCTGCGGCTGCTTTTCCTTCGGCTGCGAAGGGCGGGGGCGGATCCTGGGGCGCACACCCTCCCACCCGCGGAGGGGGCTAGGTGGGGGGGGGGTTCCCTAAGGGGCACGTGGGCCAGCATTGTCCCAGTGCAGGGGGTTCCAACGTCGGGAACTTTAAGACTTCAATTCCCCGGCCAGCAATGGGTTTGTTTAGATTGCTGAAATTTAAAAAACAATCATGGTTGGAGAAATCACTCGGAGCTTTCCTTACTCTAATAACTGCTTCAGAATTTTCTGTAAACGTTTAATTTTATTTAACTTAATTTATTATATGTGTTCTTAAATATTGATTTTGGATTATAAATAAAAAAAAAAACATCCAATTTAGAGGCCTGTAATGCTCTACTCCAGAGGTCACCAACCTTTCAGTCCTCAGGGACCACTAAATCCATATTTTTAAATTCTGCGGACCACTAATATGAATCCAGCGTGCTGCTTGATGAAGCACCTGAACACCCAGTGATGGGATGGGGTCCTTCAGGCAACTCGATGTCACTCACTCCCACCCAGTTACATGACCCCCCAGCCATGCCTACCCAGGTTTTGTGGCTCCAAGTGTTTTCTATGGGAAACAGGTGTCTCTGTCTCTCCCTCCCTCCCTCTCCGCCCCCCCTCTGTCTCTCTCTCTCTCATCTCTGTCTCTTTCTCTGTCTCTCTGATCTCCCGCTCTCTCTCATTCTGATTCTCTCGTGCTCTCTAGGTCTCGAGGGTGATTCTTCAGCTTTTGTTGATGCTGGACACACCGCAGTCACTCAGGGAGACACATGACCTGCTCCCCACCCTGAGATACTCGCCCGACCCAACTGCGGCCAATGTGCTGCATCGTAATAGGCTCCAGGAGGAGGAGGGGATGCTGTCTCCACCATTGAGAAGCATGCTAAATTTAACTGTGCTGCACAAGGCGCTGCAAGAGCAGCGGGCAGGCCATGGAAGTGGCAACAACAGCGATGAAGCGAAACGGCCAGAGAGGAAATTGTGTGTCTCCCTGAGCACCAAAAAGGGCTGGAAGAAATGCCTGTGAAATCCAGCAAGAGATGAAGGAAGTACAATGGTGCTTTGCTCCTGCTCTGGACTATGGAGCGAATCTCCATCCCCCACCCTTACCTTCTCAGACCCACGAGGAGTGGCTGGGAGGGGAGGGCAAGGGGCGGGGCCAGCTAACAGGGAGCCACAGCAGGGGGACGAAAGAGCCACGGGTTGCCAACATCCATTGCTTTGGCCCACCTGCACCACCCCCTTGCCGCAACAGCACTACTACCTCGTTCCGGCCAGCGAGGGCTTTGCTACTCCTTGCACATTGTACCACCTGCAAAGTTGCAAGTTGCATGTAGCACTTTCTATAGCAGAGACTTCCAGCCCCACCATGAGCTGCCTGGCTGGTCCCATATTCCAGAGCTCTAGTCACAGGACTGGCCCATTGGTCATTCTGGAGCAGCTCCTCCACCCAGGTGCGCTGTGGACCACCAACATTTTCTTGCAGACCACCGTTTGATGACCTCTGTTCTACTCACTACTTCCCTTCAAACTTGAAATGGACTTGTCAATACACACAGGCTCCAATTATTCAACTCCAATTATTCAGCTAACTATTCTCATGTATTCTAGCACTGATGAGGTTACCTAGCTTGAGTAATAAAACCTCTGCATAACAGCAACAGAGTTCAGGGAGGATCAAGGACCCCTAACTGTACTCGTCTAATGATGCTATAGAACAGCCCACATTTTGACAGCTTTTCTACCATAACCAGAGTCTTGCAAACTGAATGCTTCACCAAAATCAGAGAGGCTGGAAATCTCACCAAGCAAAACCAGCAACTGAAGATGAACCACAATTATGTTATGCCAAAGCCAAAATTGCAGTGACTCGAGCACTCTGCGGTGTAGGTGAGAAGTGCAAAGTTCACAGGGTCCTTCTATCGAGAAAGGGCTGCAAAGACTTCAACTTCCAGAATTCCCCAGCAGCATATACTGGCTGAGAAATTCTGGGAGTTGTAGTCCACAAGTCTTAAAGTTTCTAAGGTTGGAGACCCCTGTTTTAAAAAAAGGGTGGGGATGGAGTCACTGAGTCAGTCGCGAGTCAGTCGCAGAGCTGAGGCTGCTCCGCCAGACCGCGACAGCGGTGACGCGGCTTCCCGCAGGAGAGGCGGCTAAACTCACCGACGGTCTCAACTCTGGCTCGCCTACCGGCCTTGAGGACCCGTCCAGGCGGACTGAGGAGGGCGGGGCGCGCGCACGAGACCGCCGCGGGGCCGCACGCGCGAGATACTTCCAGGCGTCTCTCGGAGGCGGGGCGTGCGACTGTTGCCATAGCGACGCGGCAGCGCGTTGCTGGAGCAACAGGCGACGTGCGGGCCCTTCGGCGTTGTGGAGTCGAGTGCCGGGTTTCGGGGCGTTGGGTGGGTGCGCTCGGCCGGCCTGCGTCCCCCTCCAACGCCTCCCCGTTGGCCTAGAGCCGGAAGCGTCGCGGCGTCGGGGACCCTCGGTGGGGGGTGGTGGTGGTGGGGCGTTTCGGAGATCGCTTCGTCGGTCCGCCTGGTGAGTCCTGGGCTACCCGCAGGCGTGCGGGAAGCGCAGCCGGGGGTGCCGGGGAAGGTTCAGCCAGCGGTGGGCGGAGCGGTGAGCGGGCGGGTTTCTGCTGGGCTTTCCCCCCCCGCACCCCCACCCACCCCCACCCACCCCCGCTCGTGGTTTCTTTTACAGCCTGGAAGCCTGAAATGCAGGATTACGCTCTGAAGGCTTTTGCTCCCGGGGAGGGGAGGGGAGGGGAGGGGGGGTTAGTAGGAAGTGCAGACTCCGCCCGCAGGAACCTCCGCGCCGCCCTTCCCGTTCCGAGGAGGAGGAGGAGGAGGAGGAAAGCGGGACAGGCGATCCCACCCGGAACCTCCCCGAAATCTGCCCCGTTCCAGCTGCCAGGGTGCCCCGCCTGCAAACGGCCTTTTGGGGCACTCGGCTTGAGTGACCCTTGTAATGGCCGCAGTTCAAAGGCGGCGGCCTCAGTCTGGAGCGGAGAGCTTCTCTCGTCAGACCCAAAGGAAGGAACTGAAAGAGATGCTCCCTTGTTGCTGAAACAATAATACTGCCAAGCTAGAAATCGGATCGTAAGACAAGGGTTTTTTAAAACTCCCTCGAGGATCTATTTCTCTCATTGACAGTCCAAATAATACTTTGCTATACTTCCCAGCTTTTAAAGAAGCTTATTGTTCTTTTTTCAGAGACTGACAAAGATGCTAACTGAAAGAGCCCGGAAATCTCTGCTTCCTTTGAAGTTACCAGAAGGATTTCAGAGCAAAGTGGTTGCACCTCGAAATGCAAAGTTGGTTACAGAGGAAAAGAAGGATGCTCCAGTATGTTCCTTTAGGGATGGATGCGGATAAAGGACAACTTCCTTGGGTTGACCTTCACACCTGTTGACTATATGGCCTTAACTGTGTTGTTTTCTTGATAACATTAATATTTTACCACTGCCTTCTGCTTGGCTGGTTTTTGACTTCCCAGTAGAACAACACTGTATTAAATTTGCACATCACCTGACTCAGCAACTTTGGGTGACTTGCAGCAATTAGCAATACAATTACAATAAAATCAGTAAATTATAAAAATTTGATAGCAAGTATGACAACTAGAGAGTTTTCATACTTGCTGATGGTGAAGGTTGGTCTAGTCACCAACCTTGGGATTTCTTGATGGTTTCCCATCAGTGTCTGAAAACACTCATTTCCCAGAAAGCAAACTGGAACAATAAGCAAAAGTAACTGAGAGCCAGTTTGGTCTAATAAAGCACCCTGCCAGACACCAGGAAGCTGTGAGTTCTAGTCTTACCATAGGCATAAAAGCTCCTGGGTGATTTTGGGCCAGTGCCTCTCTCTGAGGCCAACTGCCTTCACAGGGTGGTTGTTGGGGGTGGGGTGGAGGAGAACAAAGGTGTGTTGGATATGTTTGTCTCCTTGAGTTATTTATGAAAATAATGAAGGATAAAAAAATTAAATCTAAAAAAATAGCTTAACCAAAAATGCAATTCCAAAACAGGTGAAGTCTGAGACTAAACTTGCATTTTTTAGATCCAGGACCCAATTCATTGAGGATGATAGAAATGGACCCAAGAAATGAAGTACCCTTGTCTCATGTCAGTTGGGACTGGAATATCCATCGCTATACAAGGCATCACTTAGTGACAACAATCCCTGCACTCCTGCTGCTGCCATTACCCGAATCTCATAGTCCTTAAGCAAGGCAATTTCCTGCCAGCTTCTCACACCTCACATCTCAGTGGGGAAGCAAGCAGGAAGCTGTGATTCCCAGGCTTCAGGTGCTGAGTGGGGGAAGGAGCAAGGGGGTATGGGTGTGTGTGCAGGAAATCACAGGGAGGGAGGGCCGTGTACAAAGGAGACATGAGAGCCGCAGGTCAGGGAAATGGCGCCAGTTAGTGGTGGGAGAAGTGCAATGACATCGGGGGAGGGTGCATGGAACTTCAAGGCCTGGTTATAGCCACTGTTTATTCAGCACCATCATAATGTCAGCTTTGTTGAGCTGCAGGATGCTTAGAAATGCTTAATGTATCCCAGGCTCCCATTGCATAGAAATCAAAGTTAATGAAGATCAAGGTAATGCAACACAAAAATGCAACCTCTCCACAATTATCCATTCAGAGATGGCTTTGTTCAACCTAAGGAAAATAGGGAAGTATAGAAGAAAGCTGCAAATTAATGTTATTACAAATGAAAATTCCAACAATTGAAATGGACGATCTGCATTTATGTCTTTTAAAAGAATTTCAGTGGGAAATCATTTTTCATGGACTCTACCACAATAGGTTGGAAACACATCTCATGGAACAGGAACAGCAGGAAGAGCCAATCTTGATGAAGGTGTTGATGCACTTTTGCTTCTCTTTGCAGCTGACACCCTCGGCTTTTCTGAAAGAGATATCTCTCACAACAGAACAAAGGCTGGCAAGCACCCATGAAGTACGCTTGCCTCACATAATTCAGCTTTTGGACATGAGTGAAACCTCACACCAGAAAGTAAGTATTTTTTTTTTACTTTAGTGCAGGACCTGTGGGCTTCTTGCAATACACGGGTATGAAAAGATATGGCACAGGATTTTATTAGCTTAAAAAATACTTGTATATTTTTATATTAAAAAAAGAAGAGATGCCGAAGGTAATATGAATTGGTTGAAAAATCCTAAGGCAAAATTTGATGTGGCATCCAAGAAGTAGGAGTGGAAAATGTGCGCCTTTGGGATCATGTCTCAAAGTGGTATCCTTGGAGTTGTGCCTATTGATGGGAACCATCCCAAAAATAACAACAAAATGAGGCTGTTTTTCACTTTACCCCACACAATACCAATTTATTAAAATCAACCTTCAAATTGATTGATTTATGGCTAGCAGAGTTTAGATGCATCTGAATAAAGCATGCCATGTGTTGCATGCTCAGATGTATTCTGTTCTGCCACCTTATGCATGTATGAAATGCCTGACATTACTATAACAGAGAGCCAGTTTAGTCTAATGATTAAGGTTAGAAACTGGGAGACCGTGAGTTCTAGTACTGCCTTAGGATCTAGCCCCTAGACTTTGAGCCAGTGACTGTCTCTCAGCCAAACCAACCCCATAAGGTTATTGTTATGGGAAAATTAGGAGGAGGAATGAGTATTAGATATATTTACTCCCTTGAGCTGTTTATCAAAGTAATAAATATGAAATATAAATTAAATAACTAAATAAAATTCAAATTAAAAGTGCATAAAATTTGTTCTGATTTAACTGATATTCTGCTTAAAACCCATTCCCTCCTAGTTTCTTAAATAAATTTGTGACGATAAAACCAGTGGCCGTTTGTTCTCCTTTAATGGAGTATCAGGCCCTTTGCTCCTGAGCCTTTCACTTAACCATATTTAACTGGAAGGAAGCCAGCCCAGATTGCTCCCACCCTGTGGCCCAGGAAATACCGTAATAGTCTCCCCTTGGCTACTGCAGCCAAATCTCAGCAGCTGGGAATCAGCCCTAATTCTTTCTGCCACAGAATGAAGCCACACCAGGCCACTGATTCATCTAGCTATTGGTTCTTCCTTGGTCATGTAGAGCACAAGCTGGCCAGGGAAGCCGCAAAGCGTGAGGTGGGCCTGATATTTTTTTCCTACAAGATATTCAAATAGCAAATACAGGCAGTCCTCCACCTACAACCACGATTCAGCTCAAAATTTCCATTGCTAAGCAACGCAGTTGTTAAATGCGTTTTGTTCCATTTTCAACTTTTCTTGCCACAGTGAATCACTGCAGTTGTTAAGTTAGGAACACGGTTGTTGAGTGAATCTGGCTTCCCCATTGACTTTGCTTGTCAGGGAGTCACAAAAGGGAATCACATGATTCCAAGACATTGAAACCATGCCAGTTGCCAACCATCTGAATATTAACCACATAACCGTGGGGATGCTGCAACAGTGGTAAGTGTGAAAAACTACATATACCAATCACATAAGTTGAAGCCTGAGGGCAGGGCTGCAGCTTGGAATCTATAAAATCTTCTGGGCTATCTGATAGTCAGAGCTTTCCTGGGGAGAAAAGCTTTCCGGCTTTGCCATGGCCCTTCAAAGCACCAGAGATTTGCCAGACCCCCATATGGCCAGAGTTGAGAGAGCCCCGAGGCTTAGCTTTACTTACAAAGGCAGTTGTGAGTACCCTGGGTTATTAACTGTGGCTAAGTTTTAAACACACCTCACATTTCAGTCAATTATACTGTTTTTCTCTATTTAATGGATCTTATTGCCAATGTTAGCTGCTCTTTACCAGTTGCCATAATGGTTATTGATGCAATGTAACTGCACTAAGCAACCCCAGTATTTCCATCTATTGCTCTGCATCTTCAGTTCTCCTCGGTTGATCTGGATCGGACTCTGTTTCAACCATTCCCATCAGAAGTGGTTTTTCAAAATTATGCCCCTTGTGAGCTCTACGAAGTACCACTGATCCTGAGGAACAACGACAAGGTAGCCTTCATCAGCAGACTTGGGATATGGTTTGTGGGGGGAGAGGGTCATGGGGGGAAAAACTTAGGTTTCAAAGAGTTATAACCGTTTTTCTTATGGAATGGTAATCATCCGGATAAGCCTTTTCAAGAGAAAGATTTGCTTTAATGCAACCTATTTAAGAATGACCTAGAACAATATCTCTTTATTGTAATTTTGTTACTTCTTTGAATCGAAAGGTTTCTAGTCTTAATGAAAATTTAAGGCTTCATCCATACTTTGAACACTTCACTCTTAAAAATCCCAGCAAGATTATTTTAACTATTCTTTCTAGTTGCCATTTTGAAACTGCAGGGGCAGAAGGTTCAAAAGGAAGCAAATTTCTGTACTGCCAATTTTGTCCTCTATAAGAAAACTTGATTCTCAATGAACTATTTAAAAATAGAGAGAGTGAAGTAGAATTTCATGGTATTGTTTATTTTTAAACTTCAGCCTCCTGGTTTTACTTCAATTGTCAGAATGTACTCTTGGGATCCTAAGATATTCAGACATTCTGTTGGGGATGCGTTTTTATCAGAACAGTTAATACAGTTATATAGTATATTTTTTACCTAATTGAACAATCATAATGAGATTATATAGCTTCTGCATTCTTTATATTTTTAGTCACAAATAGTCCAAAATAATTTTGCTACCCTTCAAATGGCAACAGCAATTTAGTTTCCTTCCAGTTTTGTAGTAAGTTACTTCACATCAATAAAAATGCAGTGCAGAATTATTCTGATTCTTGTTATTTTTCTCATGATTTTTTCTCAGCTAAGCAAAGAATTGCACAGCATATTAAGATAATGTAATTTGTAATTATTTTGTCTTTTGTTATTTTTCTGGATTTCTGGAAAAATACATCCATCTCATCTGAAACTAACTCTTTTATCTTTAAAAAATATGCTAAAAGAGAATAAACCTTATATTTAGAAGTCTATTTCCAATTTTAAAGACCATCTGGCAGACAGTACAGGACAATAAAAACAAGGACAAATAGGCTGAAAAACAGCTTCTATCCCAGGGCAGCAGCTCTTTTGAATTCTACTGTAGAGTGCAATATTAATGCAATATCAGGGGTTTTCAATTCAATGTGTAGAATGTGAAGGATGTGTTTTGTGTTTATTTTTATAATCATAATGTACAATGAAGATGGTATTTAATTTTGTTGTACGAGGTGCAATGATAAAGTAAACTAAACTAAACTAAAAGATGCCTGTTTGCTATGTCTTGACTTAAAGGTAAAGGTTCCCCTGCACATACAGGTGAAACTCAAAAAATTAGAATATCATGCAGAAGTTCATTTATTTCAGTAATGCAACTGAAAAGGTGAACCTAATATATGAGATAGATTCATTACATGCAAAGCAAGATAGTTCAAGCTGTGACGTGTCATAATTGAGATGATTATGGCTTACAGCTCTTGAAAACTGCAAATCCACAATCTCAGAAAATTAGAATATTGTGAAAAGGTTCAAT